CCCCCCAGAATAGAATCACAGACTGGTTTGGGTTGGAAGGGGACCTTGAAGTTCATGTGCCTCCAACCCCCTGCCATGGACAGGGACACCTTCCACTAGAGCAGCTTGCTTGGAGCTCCATCCAGCCTGGCCTTGAACACCTCCAGGGACAGGGTTCCTAAACATCCTTTGCATGTAGCTTTTAGTAGGAATGGCAAACTTTTCCATTGTTTTGCTGAGCTAAGGTTGAGGGAAAGGAAGATTTTTTTTTGCTATATGTTTCAGTTCTGCTTTTCTTTCCATAAGTCACCTCTGTAGGCAAAATGGGCCCTGTTTTCTAATGGACTATTGGAAAACTTGGATTTGGGTGGTTAGAAGTATTCTTAACTGTGTAATTGCCATGATAAAACTTTGCTGGGAAGCACAATTCTCTTCCTTTGTCCTGCCTGCTTTCCCCAGCGCTCGCTCACCTGTCAGGCTGATCAGGAGCTTGAAGTTCAGGCTTCTGGATCCCTGCTCCTCTGGCAGCCTGGCTCTCGTGGCTCTAGGCACATGGCCAAGCCTGACTCCTTTGAAGCTGGGGCTCCCTGGCACTCTGTGTGCCTTGCTTGTCAGGCTCCAGGTACTTGGGTGGTTTCTGAACACCCGAGAGTTTTGCAGTGAGATGTCGTTCAGCCTCGCTGACCCAGGCCCTTGAATTCCCAATCCAGAAATTTAGAATCTTAGTTTTTCCTTCTGTTTCAGAATGAAAAGGGTTTTCAAGCTGGATCTCCACCCAGATGGGAAGGTGACTTTCCAGCTAATCCACAGTTTATGTCTGAGGGGGAGAAGAAGCTGTGATGCATGGTTTTGCTTAGGGTGTGGTTTTGGAGTTCTCCAGCATTGGTATCCCAACACAGTATCTTACTGATGTTAAGTATTGGTTTAAAGAAAAATAATTCTCTTGCACAGTGCAAAGTTGTCAAATTTATGTGGTTTGGAATTTTGTGTTTTGGATAGTTGTGATGAGGCGTGTAAGTGAACAGAACAAGTCTAGTGAAGTAGTATTGACTGAGGAAGTACAGGATTTGAGTTGGGATGCTTCCTGTTCTCATCCTGGCTCTGACAGAGGATCCCTTAATATCCTCTGTTTAATTTTCATGTGTAGAAAAAAGGAGAAGGGTCACTTTGGATGTAAACGTATGATGCATGTGCTGGATCCTCTCCTGCTGCTGTGTCTCAGTTGTGGCAGAATGGGTAGAGAAGCTGATTGTCAGTCTTAGGCTTGATGAAAACCTTGTCTGTTCTCTGCTACACAAGGAAGTTCTGCAGGTGAATGAGCAAGGACTTGTGCCTTGCTTGCTTCATGATACAGAGGCTGTCTTGGACAGGTCTTCCAAAGGGGCAAATCCAGTTCACCTTCCTTGAGATTGTGGTGAGACTGAGAGCTAAAATCAGATAGAATAGTGCACAGTTCGTGTAATAGCTTTCCTTCTAGTTAAAGCAACTTAAGAAAATGTTCAGTGTTGTGCTAAACTTATAACTAAATATTTACAGTTGATCAGCTTCAGTTGTATTTACAGGTTTATAAAGCTGTAATGTTATGAAAAGTACTTTTCAAGGGCCGCGAGGGAGAAAAGAGTAAGAACTTTAAATACTTTAAGAAAAACTCTTCCATAGTAGTAATTGCAGCATAACTCATTGTTGTGAAAAGCGAAGAGTTTTCTTCTTGTTTCTTACATCCTTTTCAAGCAAGGATGGTTATAAATGTCATCAATGCCTGTTTAGGACAGGCACATGTGGCTGTGTGCATTGGCACATCCCTGAAATCTCTGGCCTTCCCTGCACATGACATCGTGCAGTGAGTGTGTGTATTCCTGCCTATGCAAATGGGCTGATGAAGGGAAAGTTCCTTTTTCTAACCAGTCTTATTGCAGGCTGAGAAACACGTTATAAAAATAGAACAGAATTGAAAGCAACCACGGGGCAGACTCCTGAACTTGCTAATGTGTGCTGGGATGTGTCAGGCAGGGGGGAGAGCAAAATCTGTTGTGTAAACGTGAGCATGAGGGCTGAGAAGAAGGAAGGCACTGAGCCACAGTCTGCAGATTAGCCTTAGACATCTGCCTGAAGAGTTTGCACACTTTGACAAAATATTTCAGGATTTTAGGGTGTGCTGCTAATAAAGCAAAAAAGTTTTGTACGTGTCACTTTGTGAAATGTGGCTTCTGAAAGATGCTCAGCTGCTTATTTCCTTTTTATTGGCAGAATAAATGACAGGTAATGGTCAGACTGATGTCTGCACACTTGGCAGTAGGTCACATTAGCCATCCTGCTCTGTCCCCTTGCTTTTTAACTGTAGATAAGGTTGTTTTTTATATGTGACCAGAGTAAGTGTGTTGAGTAGTTTTTCGGCTTGTCTCATCTAAGTCAGTTATTTTTGTTCTAAAGTTAATGTTCTGTTCTTCACATCCTGTGCCATTACTGTTTCAGCATCTCTTTTGAGCTGTGTGTAAAGTGTTATTATCAATTTCAAGGGGATATATACCTGCTCTTAGGGTCTGTTTGTTTGTTTTTGTTTCTAAATCTTAGTGGCTTTTTCCATTCTTTTCATTGAAGTTGATATCAAAGAATTTGGTAGCTTGGAGCAGGCTGTGTTTCACTTATGGCTATGATACTGATATATCTAGGTTATGATAGGAAGCTCATGCATATTCCTTTTTACTTAAATGGTTTCACTGCTGCATTTGACTTAAACACTTTTTCTTTTGAACTTTTTTTGTATATGGAAAAGCAGCAGTTGCTGCTCAAGCTTTACTTGTGAAGTCTTTTATTCTCTGGAAAATACTGACTTCCTTTCTGTTTTATCAGGCTGATTTCTCTCCCACCCCCACCCCAAACTTGCTGCCGTTGGATAAAATAGTGCATTGTAGCATGTTTGGTTACAGAATATCAGTATCACTTCCCAGAAACCAACGAAATTTCAACAAAATGAAAGTAGTCTTTCCTTGTGATTTGGGAACAGAAGCTGTTGGGCAACTCCTTTTACATCTCGAGTACCTAATGCAGGGATAAGCATTTAAGCATGGCATCCTAAAAAGATGGAAAAGTAAAAAAAGCAAAAAAGGCTGATGCAGCCTGTCTTTTCTTGCTGAGGATCTGTGTGATTCCTTCCTTCCTGGTCTTGAACTTGTTCTGGCAGAGTTTGTAGTCACAGGGTCCTATTTTAAGCCATCCTTCACTTTTTTTTGTGTGTAAGCACTGCCAGGAAAAGGGGACTTCACTAACTAGTGACAGTTACTAAAATTTTAAAATAATTTGTTTTCTGGATTGGAAGAATAAAAGTAGTGATTGTTCAGTGTGTAGTCTTGGACTTTTAGCTATATAAATATTGTGGTTGGCTCAGTTTCAGAACTGAAGTGTGGAAATCGAATTACATAGTACTTATAAGAGACTTTTGAATGAGTGAAGCTTTTCTAGGATTTATCTGAAATTCACTGTGAATTTATCAGTATTTTCTATGCAAGTCTCCCAGGGCTGTTCATAAAAGTGTTTTTCCTTTACCTGTGCAGCGTGTCTAATGGGCAGGCCTTCCTGTCTGCAGCTTCTTTCTTTGTCCATACTGTAAAAAAAAAATAAAAATTAAAGTTAACATCTCAACAGCCTCAAAAATGATTTTTCAGTGTTCTGAATTCTTACGTGACTGCTTTCTTTCAAATTAGTAGGGCTCATTTAATATGTTAAACCACATTAACATGCATGTGATTATACATGGAAATCCTGAATCAAGACTTGGTCTGTTAACTGGTTTGCCTGTATTTTCTTAGAATTGTTCTTCACAATGCTGCCAAAAGTGATTTACCCAGCTCCTTTCAACCTCCTGTGAAAATACAAATTCAGCAATCTTGCTCCTCAAAGCCAGCAGTGAATCTACATTTACACAGCCCTAGCAAAAACGTTTCTTTTCAGTGTGGTGTCCAAACTAGATTGTGTGGGGTGAGAAGTATCTTTATTCTCTCTTCCATATAGCCCAGACTCACCTGTGGAGTTCAACTGAAGGCCTGATTTGAGGTTTCCTGGGCTGGGTAGTTTTGCTGTGCAGTAAATGCTGTGCTCTGGGTTGCTGAGGGAGTTGGGAGTGAGTGCTGGGAAGCTGTGCTGGTGTGACAAGCCAGCAAGGCAGTCCTGGGAGATGGCCCTGAACACAAGGTGTTTAACCTGTTGGAACTGAGCCTTGGGGGGTTAGTTCAGAAATCCTCCCTGGAAAGACAGAGGTTCAACCCCTTCTGTGGCTGTGAAGGCACACGGAGTCACTTGGGCAAGAAGGTGCAGTTGGGAAGCCAGGAGGAAGATCAGGGAATGATGGGGAATGCTAATTCAAACACCTCCTGGTTTTCCCTGTGTTGATTCTTATCTGCAAAAGGAGTATTACCGTGCCTGCTAGAGGGGAACTGTAATAGGGATTCAAAAAAGTTGCCTGGAAGCCTAACTGCAATTGAAGGGAGAGGGAATTGCATCAGCTTTTAGAGCAGGGAATCTGCTGGTCCCACCAGAGACTTGTGAAATGAATAAATCTGCTGGGAAGGAGGATTTAGAAAACTGCCAGTCTTGGCCAAAGCTTGTTCTCCTGCATGTGAGGACCCTGTGCTAATTTTTGATTGTGGACTGCCACAAAGTTGCATAATTTATTAATTTGAGCTGTTCTTTTAACATAAATAAATAAATAAATATTACGTTGTTGTTGTTGTTGTTGTTGTCATGGTAGAAATCCCAGAAATTTGTTTTTTCCTGCTACTTGAGCCCCAGAGAAATATCCAAGCACTGATTTGGCAAGTTTTCTGATTTTACTTTATTTTCTGTAAATAAAAAGGTACAAATTCAAACCTGGGCTTGAGTTTTAGATGAGGTTCTCTTAGTGGAAGTGAGCTGTTCCCAGTTTTTTTGGCCAGCATATTGGTGTGATCCGAAATTGCAGAGCATTCACTTGCTTCTAATCTTTTGGAAAAGTTACTAAATACAGTTTTGTCTCTTTTCTTGCAGTGATGAATGTTATAACAATTGAAGACTATAAGAGCACATATTGGCCAAAGTTGGACAGTGCCATAGATCAGCTTTTAACTCAGAGTCCTGGTGACTACATCCCTATTTCCTATGAACAAATATACAGGTAAGGAGATGTTTTAAGTGCTGTGTTACTTTTTTTTCTTCTTTAAAGTGAAATGTTTGTTTTATCTTGCAGCCTATGCATATGTCTTGCTTTGTATCCTCAAGGAGGAAAGCAGGAAGGTTATGTGAAATAAAATATTGTTAAATGGTCAGAATGAATGACTAATAAATACATAACTTGTCGTCCCATGTTAACAGGAATAAGTACTAAAGAAATAAAATGCATCAGTGCTTGGAGCACTAACATTACAATGAGCTCCACCACAGCTGCTTAGTGTAGTATAATAAGAAATGTATCAAAGACTCAACACCCCTTCCTTCAAAGGGGATTTGCTTCCAAATCACACCACTGCTCCAAACCAAAGTGCTAAATGTGTTACAGACCTGGCAGTGTCTGCAGAGATTTACTGAAATGGAGATTTTTGTTCTGTAGGTATTGGTAAATATTCAGGGTATTGGTAAATAGGATGGAAAGGTGTATTCAGGGTGTTGGTAAACAGGATGGAAACTAGGTGGCTGCTGCTGCATTTACTGGCCAAGGTGCTGTTAAAACCACTGGCCCTTGCCAGTAGCACAGCTATAGTAGCACTGCTGTGCTGGTTTTCTTTAGCACAGTGTTGCACCCTATAATGCTGCCAGCTCAGTCACTGACTGCCCTTCTTAGAGCCTTTCACCTCTGTCTCGTGCCCACTTGCTCTCAGCCACTTTGCCTCTGTGGTTTGAAACTCTGGATTAGGGAACCAGATAAAAGAAAGGCAAGTGTTCAGTCTTTCCTCTTAGTTCCACTTGAAAACTTTAATAAACTTCCTCTTTCCTCTCCAGACTTTTGGAACTGCTATTATCAGGACTTGGATATCATCATGTGTATAAATAATTAGAGGGTCATTTGAATTGAGAGAGACAGCTTTGGTGCAAGTAATCAAAATCCTTTCCCAGCTTGAAATCCCCAGTGTGCAAACAGTCTTCATAAGAGTTAAGCCAACATGTCTTGAAAGTCATCTCTGACATACAGCAAATGTGCAAAATTAGTGGTTTAATACCTTGAGTAGATCTACACCTAGTTATGGTTTGCAGATAACTGCAGTCCATCCTTGTCACCTTTTTACTCCTCAGAAGTTTTATTTATTGAATGAATAATGGGTTTGGGGTTTCTCTGAGATAACCCTGACAAACCTGGGACACCTGGTGCAGGACTGTACCAATGCACGGGTATCTATTGAATGTATTTTACTATTACTAAGATTTTTTTATAGTTTACTGTTACTGGGAAAACTTGCATGTCAGTTTTCTTTTAAAAATTATGTCTGGTTTTAATTATTCTGACACAACCTCTTCCAATCATAAGACTGATTTTTTTTTCTTTTTTTATATATTTTTAGGATGTTCCTTTGATTGACTGACAATCTGGGCAAGATAGGTTGAGAATGGAAGGAAAATTGATTTTGTTTTTAACTGAGATTAATAAGGATGCTTGCTTGGAGTATTATTCAGAGTCTGTAGCAGACTGGGAGTTTAGATCCTCTCTGCTTCTAGAGCTAGAAGAACAGACTAAAGAACTAGGTCAGTTCTTAAGTCTGAAAAATAGGATGTTTCTTGAAGTAGTTCAAACAGCTACATATATTTTTTTTAAAATAAAACTGAGGTGAAAATACAGTGGGTTTTTTGGTCATCTTTGTGCTGAGTAAAGGAATCAAGGTTTCCATAATGCAAACTCAAAATACATTATTAGATACCCAAACTGTTATATATGCCATGTGATAACTGTAGGTGTCTGCTCCCCAGCAGTGAAAGGTAGGAGGTAACCTCCAAGGTGTATTTCCTATGGATCAGTTTACTTGTAAGGTATCAAAGTGTCCTTAATGACTGTTTTCAACCTTGAGTCCAAAGCCTGCCTGTGCACAGTGGCTTCCTGTTATAAAATGTTGGATGTCTTGGCAGAGAGATGTGAAGGGAACTGTGAGATGAGGAGAAGATGAACATTTAGGTTGTACTTCTGACAGGCTCCACTGGCTCCCAGGTGCAGGGCAGGCAGTTTTCTGTTCCTCAGGACAACTTAGAGATATCAGATATTCATCCCTCTTGCCTAGTGCTTACCTTCCAATGTCCTTCTGGGGTCTTCCTTTTCCTGAGGTGTTGGGTTATGCTGCAGAACTGACAGACTGGTGACTTCTTTTGGGTAATAGCAGGGTGAGGATGATTCACAGGATCAACCCACAATCAGGAACTGAAAACAGGATCTTAAAATGGGGAAGGAGCCTCTAAATAGAAGTGAACACAAAACCCAAGATGTAAACACACCCTGCATGTACATACAGAGACTGGTGTTTGAATGTGTTGCAGAAGTAGGTGCAACAACAGTGTGTGTAACACTAAGCAGAAGTGTACTTTAAAATTCAGTTTGTTACATGCCAGTGAAGCAGTCAGCTTGTGGAAGTGGCTGTATTTGGTTAGTTATGGAGCAAACAAACATGTGACCATTTGCTGTGGTTACCCAGCTGGCTGATTTGTGAGACATCACAAAAGCCAGTCTACTTTTCTTATCAGTGTTTCTCTCTTTGATCCAAATTAAATTGATTCTTACCAAAAGCATCATACCAAAATGTCTTTTGCACTTGCTTGTCCCAAAACAGAATCTGTTATCAGTAGACTTTATGTGGAAGAAAAAGGACAACTTTGACTGGTATTATTTAAATAATATCAAATGGCAGATACTCAGTTATTTTTTAAATATAGTAATGGAAGAGGTGTGGAGTGTCTTTTGGTTTTTAAGAAATAGCATTGTTCACCAAGTGAGCAGACTTTGCATAGGGATGAATGCTGTATTTTGGGGTCTTTGAAGTTGTCAGAGGCAATAAATATAGACTTCTTAGAGTAACTGCTAATTCACTCGTAAAAGCCTCCTCCAGAAGACTTTAAAAGTTGCAATTGTTGAATGAGAGCATTGTCTTGGTCTCTGAAGGCTTGAAGTTGGTGCCTAACCTCTCACTTGCATTAGAAGATTTCAGTAGCCTGCAGTTGCTTTGATGCCATCTTTGTGGTTTGCCTGTCTTTGTCCCACCTTCTCAGTGGAGAACTGGGAAGTCATAGTTCCCCTACAGACACACAGTGTAGCTTTACAAAGGTAACACTGAACACCAGAGTTAACACAGCCAAGCCATGGAATGTAGAATTAAAATTTTATTGCTTTTTTTCTGCATCTTTCTTTATTATGAAAGTGTACTTCTTAGAATTGAAGTAACAAAGAATGGAGTAACGTGCTTGGGTCTGTAATTTTAGAACTTTTACTATATCCTTTTAAAACTTATCAGGGTTTTGGTGCAACTTCTGTGACTGCTTGTCTAGAATATTCATACAATCATTAAACCTGCTTATTTTAATGGGCACTTAATTGACATAGGAGAGGCAAAAGCCAGAATTAGGAATGTGCTGTTGACAGAATTGTCCTGGCTGTTTTGAATGGCACTGTGAGGAGAACTCATTGTGAGTAAAAATGAGGTTGGGAAGGGGGAATGGGATGGACACCCTTGAGCTTCCAGAGACTTAAGAGTTTGCTGGAGCTCATTCTGAGCTTAGGACTGTATTTAAAAGTTCAGTAATCACTCAACTCTATTATCCTCTAAATTGCAACTTGTACAAGTGATTTTGAAGTCTGTTACCCTCCTTTGCAAACTGCTGTGGGTTCACTGTTTGTTCCTGTGTTTGTTTCTGCAGTTGTGTGTATAAGTGTGTATGCCAGCAGCATTCGGAGCAGATGTATAGTGACCTAATAAAAAAGATAACTAACCACTTAGAGAGAGTCTCAAAGGAGCTGCAGGTAAGAAGCTGCACAATCTAATTCTGTCTTTCCTGGGATCTGGGATTGTATCAGAACAGCATGTAGGTGGCCTCTGGAGGAGATAGCCATTAAGACTGATTTACAGTAGCTTACTAAACTGGGGACTACTTCATTCACTACTGGGCTGTCAGATACCAACTGCTAGATCCAGTTGTGTGGCACTGCCTTAGCCTTGGTGACCTGAGCCATGTGGAGAGCAGTGGCTAAACTTGAATACATTATATGGAATCAAGGCCTAGAGAATGGGAAATCTACAGCATAATCTGGGATGTAAATACTTCAGCCAAACATGAGTTGTGCACGTGGGATTAATGTCTGCCATTGCTGTGTAAGTCTGTGGAAACTATTCATGGTTCTTGTGCACCACAAAAGGAAAAAATAACATTAATTAATTATGGATTGTGAAATATAAATTAGGAATTATTGCATATGAAGTTTTGTGTTACAGTTTATTCTGCATTTTTCTTGCCTATCTCTAGATGTCAGTGGTTTACAGCAGTCCTAATGCTTGTATATCCCTATCCTTCTCTGCATCTTATTTGTGCACCCATGATTGTTTTCATGTGTGTTCCTTGTTGAACATTCCTTTTAGGCTGGAATCTCCAGGCACCTACCTGAAATTGGTATTGCTGTAGCAGCAACACTCTTTGATTTTTCCCTACAGCTTTTGTCACTTCCAGAACAGATGTTTGAGTTCTGTACTGCCTTGCAGTGCATGAAGTAGAGATGCCAAATACAAAGGAACCCTAAACTGCAGCAGCTCCCTCAGTGGTTCTAACACATTGATAATTAATTTCTGTCAGTCAAAAGCAGTCTTACTGCTTCAGGTACTTCTGGCTAAACGTGCATTCCCATAGCACTGTGATCTCTCATGTCCTTTTGGTTTCACTCTTTTCCTCTTGTGGCTTTCCTTATAAAAAGAGAAATAACCACCCAGCATTTAATAGGCATGGTGTTGGACTGAAATATCTTGAGCTAGGTTCTTTCTTCTTTTCTCTTTTACATTCTCTTTGTTCCTTATGGAATGACAGCCTCAGTGTTCTGTAAAAATTGGTTAGAGTAGATGAACATGGTATTTAAAATAAAGCCTTTCCTTGGTTCTGCTGAGCTGGTGCAGCCTGTACGTTTTTCTTGTGAGAACTGTGATTCATTGCAGCTACACAGGTTTGGCCAGTTCTTCTCATACATCCCGTGGTAATATAGTGCATTACTTTGCTGTGAATTTGGGAATACCCCACATTCTTTACTCTGTGTTAGTCCTTCATTGTTTCCTCCAAAGTTCCGGAACTGAGGCAGCTCCTTTGAAAGTTTGCTTTGGCACATGGGAACCTTAAATGCTTCTGCCTAAAAGCCAGGCTGCCTTCTGAACATCAGCCTGGTGAAAGAGTAATTGAGACAACTGTTTAGTGCAACCTGTGCCTTGCAAAAGGCTCCTTATGTAGGTTAGACACACCTGTAGTATGACATGATACCATCTTTGAGTGTTATTAATGAGTTTTGTCTGACACGAACGTGACTCTGCTTTTGGAGGGTAAAGATCTTTTTGGAGCCGCTTGAAGTAAAATTCGTGTGCCTCAGAAAATTATTCTCTAAAGAAACTTTTAGCTGTGGGTTGTGAAATTTGCTTTTAAGGAATTACTTTACTGCAGTGTATTTTATTATCCTGATACTTCTTTGATCCTAATACATTTTGGTGACATTCAGTCGCTCGGGATTTATGTTGAAAATGCAGTTCCAGATCTTTAACAACAACAACAACAAGTTACTTTGTAAATGTTGGTTGCTTGGAAGTTTCTGGTTCACACTGGCAAACAATGAAAAACCCTATATATGTGAATTCTTTTAATGCACGATATGTGGTATTTTGCTTTCTCTGACATGAACTCGTTCTACCTACCAGCAACATTTAAGTGAATTGCAGAGTTCTGTGTAGTTGGCAAGGTGTGTCTTGATGCAAGATAGGTTTTTTTTTTTACATGCAGAGATGCAAATGTAGCCCAGTATAAGCAGGAATGCTGGTTTCTGTGAGAAACATGATTATGAATTGAACTGGCAGGCAAATGCAATGTCTTTTTCTGGACAAGCCAAGCAGCTTCTTTGTGTAGAAGTGTAACAGTTTAATGGCAAGTGGATTGCAGAACATCTGCATGTAACCAGTGTGCCAGAGCAAGCCATTTCCTACAGGAATTACATGTCAACAGCAAAAGCAGTAAAACTCAGGTACCAAACAATAAAAGCAGGAGCATCTCAGGGGACTGGTCAGACTTGCTCTTGTGTGGATCTTATTGGAGTTTGGCTTCTTACTGTGGGGCATTCACTGCAGAAGCTCCCTGTATATGTATTTATTCACCCCCACCCCCACCCCAAACTGTGTGTGTAGCTCTCAGCTGGCCCCAGCTGGAGTCAGCAGAGTGGTGGCACTCAGGTGTCCTGGGCTGGATGTCCCAGGAACTGAGCTTTGGCCCCGTGGTCACACCAGGACACTCAAACAGTCCCTGGTCATCCCGGGTGACTTCTGCCTTTCCAAACTGCAGGACACCCGTGTGGTGTTGCTGTGTCTTTGCCTCGTGCATTCCTGGTTTGCTCTGCAGGTTTGCACCTCAAAAAGGTCAGTTGGCAGTGGTGGCAGAGCTGATGTGAAAATGTGGATGGGCTGATGTGTTCCTGTGTCACACACTGGGTGAAAAGCAGTGAGTGGTGCTTGCTCAGTAATAGTATGTTTGGATGAGATGAATTGCTTGTCACCAGGCCATCAGCTTTTTGTATATCCTATATCCCAAGACATTTCTAGCTCCCTCATTACTATGTCTGTAAGTAAATAATCCTCTCTTCAGACTGTTAAGGAGAGACTCAGAGCAAGGATTGCCTTCCTTCCCTGCAGTCAATGTCTGACCAGCTTCTCTGCATTAGTTAAGACTGAGTTTCGTCATGTGGAGCTTTCAGTAATTGAGAATTAAATTTCCCTAATTCTTGAGTTGATTGGAATTTGGGATTTTGTCTGCTTAAAATAGAAATGTGTGGCTGCAGAAAACACAAATTAACTTGTTTCCTGTTGTCTTGGTCTGTGAAATATACAGGCAGTATACAGATGATTTTTCTAAGATGCTTTACTTGGAAACATTTTATTGATAATAGACATAGTTCATTATGTTGTGGTTCAAAATAATGTCAGCTGACTTTGTGGGTAAGTGCTGAGTCATTCAGATGTATGAGGTAGAGTAGATACACAGGCATATGCTTTCAAATTCAATACACCTCCCTTTAAAATTAATAAAAATGTGTTTGCATTAGGCACTAGTGTTACTGGCTTAACTTATTCTTATGTACTCTGATAAAGTCATTCAAAATCAGGTACTCTACCCATTACATACCTCTTCAGCAAAAGACACTGGAAAGTACTCAAAGCATTGGCAATCAAAATGCACTGTAGCTTTGAGCTGGCCCGTTACAAAAGTACCTTTTTTTTATGCAAGTGCAGTGGAATATTCTCATTTTAGTTAAAATAGTTTCACAAGTTCCTTTACAAAATGACCGAGAACTGAAAACCAGTTATTTGTCATGTTGCACCTTTTTTTATTTAGATAAAAGAGAAAAAGGGATCTATTGTTTTCTGTTTGTGGTGGTGGTTTTTTTTCATTAAGAACTATATTTTTTTACATAGTTTTTTACAATGAACATGACTGAACTGGTGTTGGTGGATACCAGCTGGTGTTGGTAGATAATTTGCATGTCTGCTGTTTGGCCCCAGGACCTGCAGATTTAGAGTCTTTGTTGTGCAATGCCAGCAAGTTTTCCTGCCTGATATTAATCCTTACAACTTCTCAGCCTTCTGTCTTGTCAGCTCTCAAACCAGTCGGTGCAGTGTATGAAAATATCATCTCTCCTGCTGTTTCTTTGGCACAGTGTGCAGTGGAGTCAGGTGCTGGGAATGAGTGTTTTGAGGTGCTCAAAGAATCACTGGAAAGGTATTGGAAAAAGCAGGTTTAATGTCAAAGTGAAAGTGTGACAGAGTTCATTGGCCGTGTTCACTGCACCCACTGCTACAGGGGTAAAGCACACAGAGAAAAATCAATCAATCTAAAGCTAAAATCAACAAAAATGATCTGTGTGGAGGCTGGGGACAGGAAAAGGGTAAGGATAAAAAGGAATAAGGGAGACCCTCCCTTTGAGTCACAACATTCAGAGTGGACCTCCTTACCAAACTTAGCCTCGGACTGGACCAACACTTTAGGTCCAGGTATAGCAAACGTGTGTGAAAAAAGTCTTCACTGCTGTGAACCACAGCAAACTGAATCACATCAAATTTGAACTCAGATGGCAGAAACCAGAAGCCTTAGAAATTCTGTATCTTCCTGTGTGGCCATCAGAATGTTGGCTTCTGAAAAATGACATTGCCGTGAGCCAGCTAACCTGAGAAAAGCATCCTTGCCTGCAGCTTTTTGAAAAGGTTTGTATTCCTGCAGCTCTAGATATGCTGGGACTGCAAGGCCTGATACAATTACAGAAAGCTATAAGTAAATACAGCACAAATTAATATGCATTTGCTAGGTGGAAAAGCTTCTGAAGATACCTTACTACTAAACAGGGTTTGGATGGTCCTTAGGTACAATGTCTTTTTGCTTGACAAACGTGTAGAATGGAAATGGAAACACGGCCTCCATCTGCTAACCTGCTGTAAGACAGTTAGGTGAGGGTATGTCATGATCCTGCACAGCTTTGAACAGGTTTGAGTGCAGGCTGGACTAGGAATAGTCAGCCTTTGCAGGAGTTGTGCTTTAGTGTGATGGCTGGTTTTTGTGAAAGGTTTCAATAATCCCTGGGTCTGAGGAGGCAGACCTGGGCATCACCTATATTAAGGCAAGGTAAACAAATTTTCTCAAGGAAGAACAAAGACTAATTTAGAAGATTCAAACCACCCACATGAATAACAGGTTCATTTGTGTAGTGGTGGCCATGCCCCCTTTCCACTGGGCAGGTGTGGCAGAGCTGCTGCAGCACATTGCTGGCATCATGGCAGTGAGCGTGTTCCCAGGAGAATGGGGCTGCCCGTTCCACGGAGCAGTGTAAGCTTTCCTCAGTACACTGCTGGTTGTGCCAGACACATCATAAACAGATTAGCTTTGTGTTCCTCAAGCACTGTTGTCTCTCTTTCTTGTAAGCCGTTTCTGAGCTGTGTTGAGCCAGCAACACTCTTCTGCTTTCATTCATGTGTTCAGCTAAAGAATAATATTCAAACTGTTTTTCAAGCTGCAAAAACCCCCATCATTTTCATGTGTACAGTTTCTTGACCACAAGTTCATTGAAATGCCTAGATATTAGATTTCAAATAAGGGAAGGGTAATGTAGTATACTGGATTTCCAATGGCTTGTTTTGTTTGACTGTGTCTTATCTTGCATGTCATCCTTTCTCAAATGTGTTTTCTTGTTACTTCTCATTTCTCTTGGTGCTGAGATGTCCACTGTGATGTGTAAGGAGATTTATTATCAACTTTTAAACAGCACCATAGTTTTCTATGCCAAGAAGTAATTGACTCACAGCCAAGCTGAAGATGATAAGCAAATGCAACTGTATCCCATTTTGAGGAACCCAACCCAACCCTAACGTTCAGTGCTCCTGTGGGTAGACACACAGAGTTGTTACTGGAAAACTGTTCTTAACCCTATGAGTGGCAGATGAGAGCAAATGTAGGAGAGGATTTAAGCTGTCTCCCTGTATGGAATGTCTTAAAAAACAAACAAATTGAAACACACCAAAACCCAACAAACAGACAAAAAAAGCCCCCCAGAACCCTGAATTAACATTTTGATAGAACTGAGGAGGAAGAGTGAAGGAACGAGGGATCCTCTTCCTTCCTGGAAAACCTTAGGCTCTCAGTGTGTATTTTTTCTTTCTTTGAACAGCTTCTGTAATAGATCCCTCAGGTAAGATAGGAGTAGATTTAAAGACTTAATACTGTCTGGGGAGTTGTAAGAAGTAAATGTCATGCTTAATTCTGCCCCTCCCCCTGTAATTAAAACAGCTGAATGTATGTGCTCTCTTTTTCTGGACTAAGACCAGGAGTGAAAAGTGTCAGCTAAGCAGTTGGAGTTTTTTTGGGTTTTTTTTTCTAGTTTTGTTTTTTTTTTTTTGTTGTAATAGCTATAGCTGAATAAGTAAAGATTTTAAGTGGAAGCTGTATTCTAGTGATGGCCATTTAATAAACAAAATGCAGCAACTTCTGTTTACTCCTGAATTTGATGCCATGCACTGCTTTTTAGTTTATAAAATTCAAGTAGTGTATATAAAGCTAATCCAGTTACTGTATTATAAATGTTAATGTAGAGATATGATGAAGGTTCCTGTGCTCAAACAAGTGATTGGTTTCAGTGTGGCAGTTTGGAGCAGCTGCACAGTAACACCAGGATGAACAGCAGCAGATGGTTCTGTTCCCCCCCAGATCACGATAATTCAGAGATGAGCTGTGAAAATACTATTGATTTCTCTTTGGCTTGGCTATTTTGGTAGTTTACAAGTCCAGCAATAGTTGAGGCGAGTTTGATTGTCAAGCTTGCTTTTTTTTTCCTTCCCTTTTAGTGGTTTGACTGTTGAGACTTGACATGAAGCACATTCAGGAGAATAAAACTGAAAGGTGCCATTTCACACTGATGAAGCAGTGAACACCATAATTTCTGTTTTGCAGAGGTTAAAACCAAGGCCTGATATTTGCCTGACACTAGTGAGTGCTTCCTCTAAAGCTGTCAGGACCTTTCTTAGGGTTTTTTTTTTGTCTTTGTCTATAGAGCAGTTGTTTCCACTTGGTTGCAAGGTGATGGTGGTAGTGACAGCTTCCCAGTATCCTTCCATTAAAGGACTCTGGCAGTTGTGCAGTTGTTGTCCCCTCATCAAATGTCTCTCTTACTGGGACATAGGCTTTGTGAGGTGAGCTGGCAGAGTTTTCATCTGCAGTGGAGGAAAAAGAGATGAGTCCTTACTGTCCCCTGTAAAAAAGAGTGGCAGACTGAGGGGATACATTGCCTGCAGTCTGTTCATGGGATTAAATCACACACTGCTCAGACAGCTTCTGTCTCTGTTTTTGCTCGTTGGGTCTTTTTTTGTTGTTGGGTTTTTTTTCCTTTTAAATAAAAAGGGCAATCTACCAGTGAGAGAAGAGTGGTGCACTGTGTCAGGCTGTGGTCTCCTTTTGTCTGATGTGTTCTTTGAAGTAGAATTTTCCTTTTTCTTTAATCTTAGAAGCTGTATGCCGAGTCTTTACAAATCCGAGGGTATCACCATATTTAAAGTTGAGGTTGAAAAGGAGTGAACAGGAATACATACTGCTTAGAAATGCAGATTTCATTGCATGTTATTTACAACAAATTATATATGTAATTATATATGAAAGGGAGTCCTTGGAGCTCATAGCTACTTTTGTACATTGTTGGCATTTTCAACTAAAATTTGTTTGGCCACCCCTGAGAACTGCATCTGCAATAAGATTAAAACCTTATGATCAAAATGAGGAATAACCATATATAACCTTTGGCAACTGCTTATGGAATAATGCTCTTTATTCCTTTGCCAGTTTTGCTTTCCTTTCTAAACTGTCTGCTCTGTATTGGTGTTTGCTGTGAAAATTACCCACGTGTTCATTAAGCATATTAAGAAGGTAGGCAAAAGAAGCTAATTTAAGGCAAAAAAACCCTTTCATAAATTTAGAATAGAGCAAAATATCAACATAAATTTTAACTGTTCTCTTGGGGCCCCTGGTGAATGTCCATACAAAGGCTGAAAACTCTGCTATGTGAAGGTAGCTCTAAGTTCTGATAAGATGGTTGAGGTGCACCTAAGCCTGGAGTGTTTTTCATGCCACAGATGCTTTGGATTTAGGAAAATCTTTGGGCTTGTTTTCTTGCAAGGTCCCAGTTTCTGCTGTATTCTCTTTCTTCTTTAGGCTTTGTGAATGCCAGAGGGGAAAACAGTTTTGCTTCTCGCTAGGAAGCAGCACTTTGCCCCTGGGTGTGTTTAGGTGTGTGTGTGTGCCTGGGAGCAGTAGGACCTCAGGCAGCCAAAGACCAAAGCAGTGGGTGTCTGAGAGCACATCTGAATGCTGCAGTGCAGCTCCCCTGCCTGCCTCCAAATAAATATTGGAACAGAAACAGTGGTTAATGCTTCCCATTTTTCTGCTACCCTTCTCAATTTAATTCAGCTCGCTGCAGACCTTTTTAGCTTCCTTATCTCCTTCCTTGGGAAATAGGGTATTGTGCACAGAAAATAGCTCTCCAAAGCCTATCAGGAGGTTGGCACATTCAGGTGTGGTGTAGCAAAGCTTTGCTGGGGCTCCAGGGTGATGCAGTGTGTTGGAGCACAGCAGGAGGCTTTCCTAGGCCTGAGCTGAGGAGGACTCTGCATGCACAGCTCTGTCTAAAGGTCTTGCTTCATCATGGTCCCTTCAGCTCAATACCCTGAACACTTGCCTTGCCTTAGGTGACCCAGCAAAAATGTCAAAAGACTTTCTTTCAGATTTCCAAGTGTGGAGGGCAGTGCCCTCCAAGGGTGTGCCACTTGCCAGCTTGGTGCAGAGCAGCAGTTTAATGTCACCTTCTGTGGTGGAGGAGCAGCTCGGGAGGTTGGGGCACACACCCGTTCAGATTTGGTGAGGGGTTCTAAGCATGACAGGGAGTGCTTTCTAAATGAAGGTCTGATCTTTGATGAGTGTTTTTATTTGCATATGCTAAATGCTAGTTTGTTACAGGAATACCTATTTCCTATTGAATGGACCTTGTGCTGGGCACTGACACAGCCCCAGGCAAAAACTGCCCACTGAGGGAAGATTGGTTGTGCTGGAGGGAGTTAGAGCAGAAACTCTGGAATGATGTGTGGCTTGCTTTGTGTGGACCTGGTGTATCAAATACTTTGGAGTTTGCTGTGAAAGCATAGCCCATGCTGTTCCAGATCTTTCTCTTGTTCAAATTCCAACCTGACTTTTACGGTTTCTTTCAGGCCAGCCCTCCAGATCTCTATATTGAAAGATTTAACATAGCTCTTGGACAGTATATGGGAGCATTGCAGAGCATTGTGCCTCTTTTCATATATATGGTAAGTTTTAGAAAATTCTTTTCAAATAAATATGTCCATACATAAGATGCTGACTGAAAGTGAGAAGAATAAAATGGAGCTATACTGATTTTTGACATGTAAAACTTATGATTCATACCTGCCTAAGAGTACTGCTCAAGTTGTATGGGAAGAGGAAGGGGCAGCTGGGCTTTTTAAATGTAGAGTTTTGCAGTTTGTTTCTGCCCTAACAATTCTTTCCTGGGAGTGGGAAGAGTGGCTTTTATTGTGATCAGGAAAAAAAGCCATCCCAAATAATTCATTATTTATATCTTTTTGAACAGACATCATTTATTGGCTTGTTATACTTTGGCTTCTTAGTTTGGGTAGGTTATGGAGATGATTATTTCTTGCTTTTAAATAGCACAGATTCAGACAATACAGGAAGAAATGTATCTTGGAGCTGTCTTTGTCATTTGATAAAGCAATTTAGAGTGTTGGATGGATGAAGACAAACTTATGTTCATAGCACTGTCAGGAATACTTGGAGAGGTTCAGAAACCATTGGTTAATGGTTAATGATTAATTGGTTAAGAGTTTTTGTGTAGATTTTATAGTTTATGAAATCTTTTATACCTCTGAAGATGTTTATAATTTGAGGGTTTTTTTGTCAAAGTGCCAAGACTTTTATTGGTCGAGGGTTTTTCTGTGGTAATGAATAACTTAAACTTGAAATTTGTCCTCCCAGAAACTGTCCTTGCATTAGCCTCACTTAGAAATAATTTAAAAAAGATATATTTGTTGGGAAAGAAACTTTTCAAAAAAAATTTTAACTGATTTACATTAAATAAACCTCAAACTCTTCACAATGATTCTCTTTGGTAGTTTCTCAGAGTTTGGGAAGCAGTATCTTAGATAGTGCTGCATTTCAGTGAAGATCTCCTACATTTCAGTGAATTTAGGTAGCTTGCTACAGTCTTTCAGTGTAGTGTTGCCAAACAGATTTGTTGCATTAAAAGAGGAATTTGCCTCTCTTGAACTGGGTAACTCTAATCTGCTCTTTTGTCTGGTTAATACAGAATGAAATCCAGTTGCTCCAGCATCAATTTTAAGCTAAGGGATGTGTTCCTCTGATGATTTTTTTAAATTGTTCTCTTGCTTCCTGTTGTGAAATGCTGGGGAAAACAGGGAAGAGACTTTTTTCCCTATTGCATCCAGATATTTTTGGATGGTACCCACTTTGTGACCTGTGTGTGCATAACTTGTTTGTTGCAGGCTGGTGTTTTACATGACCCCATAATTTAATATCCATTTTCAGAAGGAGATAAGCTGTTCAGGTCTGTACTGTATTGAGTGCCCATTTCTGTGATGTTCTTCCATCACAGAAGTCAAAATTTATCCTTCACAATTAAGCCTGCAGTAGCTAATATTGAAAAAATGTTCATGACACACATAGAAACAGGTGGGTTTTATCATTACAAGGTTTTTCTATATGACCAGATGAAGTGTAATTGTCAAATAGATTTCCACATCTTTGTACAGGTGAGGAGTGGTCTGTATCCCATTGTTCATTTTAGAGTTTGAGTCTGATACCTGAACATAGTAGAAATGATTAATGGGTATTAAACAGACCTGTAAAATGATTGGTTAGATAATAGTTTTCTTTTTAATTTGACATCAAAGAAGAGTGAAAGTGCTCTATCGTTTGAAAGGAAAAAACTTCTTTGGAGCATGACTAGTGCTCTGTTCAGGATGTAAAACTGTTCCTGCAAACACTTTATCTTTTAAGTGGCTTAATTCAAGTTAGACCTGAGAGTTATCATGGAATAATTTGGGTTAGAAGGGACCTTTAGAGGCCATCTAGTCCAACCTCCCTGCAGTGAGCAGGGACACTTTCCACTAGACCAGGTCACAAATGACCTTCAGTGTTTCCAGGGATGGGGCATCCACCACCTCTCTGAGCCACCTGTGCCTGTGTTTAACCCTCATTTAAAAAAATTTCTTCCTTCTATGTGGTTTAAATTTACCCTCTTCTAGTTTAAAACCATTACCCCTTGTCCTGCTACTACATGCCCTGCTAAACAGCCTGTCCCCATCTTACAAGCCCCTTGAATCAGAGCTGTGACTTACTGTTAGTTCCTGTTGCTGCCAAACACAATGCTGCTTTATAAGGCTAATGTCAAATTAACTTTCACTGAAATAAGTTAATAATCAGTGTTGTGCATGATGTGAACAGTATCTCTAAAGAAGTCAGGATGAAAAATCTTTGTCTCTCTTAGGTTTTCCTGTGGGCATTCACAAGTACTTTTTATGTACAGATACTCTTGCAATCTTACATTGTAGTGTCCAGTCAAGTTTTCTCTCGTACAGCAGCAGCAGTTTCCTCTGTTTGGACAAAAAAATACAATTAAAAAACAATTGCAAGAGGTGAAAGCCTAATTGCTCTACAGTATAAATTACAGTTTTGCAGTTACTTTAATAGATACTTTCAATGCATTTTTAAGTGAGGAGGACTAAGTTGTTGAACTCTGCCTTTATATCAGAGGTGGCAGAGCTTTCCTTTTCTGTGATTACTTTAATCAGGAGCTTCCAAGGCTGTTGAATTGCACTTCAGAACTTTGTTCTGAAAGGATAATTACATTGCTGCTTTGGAAAGCTTTTAATATGCATTTAAGTAATTTAAAATCCGTGAAGCTGAAGAAAAACTAAAGCTTCTCTGTAAAACTGGAACATGCCATAGCGTTTTGTGTTAGGCTTTGTGTGTTGATAGGAGCAGCAGCACTTTTTCTTTCCTTTCCTGATATGGACCAAACCATATGTTGAATGGTGGGAATACAGGAAAGGTGATTTCTTCCCCTGGGTGTTTATGGTGACCAGGGTGTGTTCCAAAGCTTACTTTGGGTGATGGCTGAGAGGGCTGACCTTGCAGCTGAGGGAGTTTTCTTCTTCCTTCTTTTGCTGGGAGCACTTTCTCCTTTCACATGGTACTAGATTTTTTTTTTTTCAGTCTTATGCTGCTACAACAGACTTTTCAGAAAAGCGTGGAGACCCAAAGTACTTTGGTCCCTCCAAGATTCTGTGGGTTTAGGCTCCTTCAAAAGTTCTGGAATGTAACAGCAGATAAAGCAAATTAAGCTGGAAGTAAGCTTAGTACACAGTGCTTTATTCCTGGTGAATAACTGTTTGCTTTGTAAATGTAAATGAGGCTATTCTGGATGCTTAGAGATTGTACATATCACATTATGCTACACACATAAATGAATAAGAACCATATTTCCACTTCAATAAAAATTAAAATCAGCATTTAGATAATATATTTTTTTCTTATAGATTCTCAATTACTCATTTTACTTAGAGCTGTAGAGGAAAATCTGTTATCTTGGTGCATTATATGAGCTTAACATTTGTGAGCACTGTGGTTTTAGGATAGTTAAGAATTTTTTCATTGCCTCTAAAACATTATTATTCTTACTGGGTGGTATTGCACTTTGTTGCTTATCAGCTAGAGGGCATTTTGTGTGTGTCTGTGAACACAAATATGTGTGAGTATGTGTATGTGCATGAGATGATAAGCACTCCTATATACGGGTTTTTCTCCTTTCAAGTATTTATTGATCTCCTCTTAGTAATATTAACTCAGTTATATCTTAAGATTTGCCAGATTGCTTTGTCGTACAGTGTAGAATTATTTTGTAGAATAAGTGTTTGTGTCATACCTGGCTTTCTCAGTTGTTGGTATCTGCTTCCCTTTTGATTGTCAGTTAGACCTTTAGGTGACTTGAGACATTTTTCAAGAAATACTGGTACAGCCTAGGTAGTGGTATGTTATACAGAAAACCTTCCTGTTTTTCCACTAACAAGAATGGGGAAGGTGACAGCTCTCCTGCCATCTCCTTTCAGCAGTGTGGATTGGAAATGGAGTACTTATGTTAGATGATTTTTTCACTGTCTATTTAAACTCACACAAGTGTACCATCTTTTTGGAAAGGTGTTTCAAAGTGAGCAAATGTGAAGAGTATTTTACATTTCTTCTGTGTGTAAGTACTGTCTTGTAGCTGCTGGCTTGCTTTTTTTTTTTTTTAATTATTTTTATGTTGCTTTTCCAGTAGCGAAACTTAAAAGTATAGGCTTTCCAACTCATGAACCAAAGCAAGCATCAGAGTTTGCACCTGTTGTTGCCAGCTCCTTTTAATGTCCAGAGGTCTTGAGACTGGGAAGGGACTAGAGTAAGTTATATCCTTAGCTGGGTGCATCTCACCTGCCAGCTCATCAGAATGAGCACTTTGACACTGTGTGTGACACTCCTCTGTGTTGCACCAGTGGGTTCATGGCGTTTGCTGGTCAGGAACCTCGAGGTGAAAATGGTTTAGGAAAATAGTCTGGTGAAAGACTGAAGTAGGGTGTGTATCTGAACACTTCCTGGGAGCCATGGATCTCTAGTTGCTGTGGATCACCACCGACCAAAACCACCGTGAGTGAAGTCAGTCTGTTCTTTATGAAACAGGTTATTCTGTCTGCAGAGCCTTTCCCTCAACCTCTGTTCAAAGAACAGGCCCAGGTGAGGGGGAAACAACTGAGTAATAAAATAGCCCTTGATAAAACCTCTACAGGTAAGGATAGTGTCAAGGGGGAACCAACAGCAAGAAGTTTACTAAATTAAAAAAAAATATCTTCCTAAGGTGGTTGTCCATCACTGCAACAAACCTAAACTGCAGCAGGGACGGGGATTCAGCCCTCACATGGCCTTTGTTTCTGACAGGTTCAGTTTTTATTACACATGAGTAATTGCTGCTGAATGCTTGCCTTGAACATTTAAGTGGTTTCTGCATGGACAGTGTTACAGTGTGTTTATATTTTTGCTAATGGCCAAGAGAATGAGTTTTACAGGGAAATGTAAAGATTGCTCTAATAGTGTTCTGAGAGTTTGTTCCAATTTTGTTAAATGCATCAGGAGAACAACTTGATTCAAAATCTGAAAAAACCTTTTTCCCTTAAGATAGCCCTTCCTCTAGGAAATCTGTCAGATAAGTGTTCCTGCAAGTTATTTTTGAGTTCATTTTCTATTAGCTAATCTGTTTAACTCTTACACAAGTTGTCCAGTTGAATTCAGCTGTTCTACTTCAAAGTTAGCATTTTAATAAGAGGAGACTTATCTTGGAGCAATTATTTTTTTCCAGCATTTAAAACACACCTATCAATAAAATACAGCAAGAAATCTTACTATTAACTGCAGGCTGGGAACTGAGGAGTAATACTAAATAGTACATTAGGTATAGGGACTCTGAAGGAACTCATTAATAGAATTTTCTTTGATTTTTTTTTTCTTCAAAGAGGTAAATGTATTATTAATGCTGAGTAGGTCAAGATAATGGAATCCTAAAAATTTTAATGTAGTTCAGTTTTGCATAGATTTGTATATATCACTTATTTCCACAGCTGATTAGTTCTGAGTAGCTATCCTTTGAGATTGTTGATGAACCATTGAAGTGGATAGTTGTCCTGATGATTTATTGTTGTAACCTACCTATTTGAATGGCTTAATCACTTTTAGACATTGAAAAAAATACCCAAGTCATCATTTTACAGGTGAATTATTCTACACCTTTAAAATTCCAAACCGTTTTTGTTCAGGTTAAAAAATAAGTTTGCTTTATTTGCTATTGTGCGAAAGAAAGTTGAAAACTTCTGTCTTATTTTCCAGAATAAATTTTACATAGAAACCAAGCTTAACAGAGACTTAAAAGATGACCTTATAAAGCTGTTTACGGAACACGTTGCAGAAAAGCACATTTACAACCTAATGCGTAAGTAAACCTGTTGATTTTCTTACAATGGGAGTGTGGAAAGCCACAGTGCTTTCAGATCTTGCAGAAATCCACAACAAACAGGGAAAAATTGCAAATGAATACGAATTCCTCTAAGGCATGAGGAAATGTGGCACACTTCAACCTTTTTCTGTTTGTTTGTTTTTGTTTTTTCAAAAATGTGACTTTCTACAAAGTAGTGGTTGTCCTGAGGTGTGGGGGAACCAATATTTATTTTCCCATATGACTTGTGATTGTGACATAATGAAGGCTTTATTGTTCTGTTGCTTCTGCTGCTACTCTTTAATTTCATTATCAAAATCTTGACAGGTATCAGTAGGAACGTGGCGTGGCCAAAGAACTGTGATCCTGCCGTGGTTGTTGTCATGATGTACCCGAGTCCTCCCTGCCAGTTAGAATAGAATCATAGGGTCACAGAGTCAGCTGGGTTGGAAGGGACCTCTGAGATCATCCAGTCCAACCCTTGATCCAACCCCGCCGTGGTTCCCAGCCCATGGCACTGATGCCACATCCAGTCTGTCCTTAAACACCTCCAGGGACGGAGAATCCACCCC